GAACTCTGCCAGCAGCTTGGAGCACAGCACACCTGAGGGAGTGAACACAATGGTGAAATAGCAGGACTAAAAGAGGTGCAAGCAGGGAGCAGCAGGCTGAAGCACGCCTAGGACTCTGAGCAGACTGTGCTTTTCTCACTTCCATAAAGGGGACTTCAAGGAAACCTGGCAAGGGTAGGTTGACCTTAAGGAAAAAAGGTTCTTCCACCGATCCATGTTCTAACCATGAGCAGTCTGGACTGACAATGTCCTCTGAGTGCTAGAACACATTCTTTCTGGGCCCGCTACCTAGTAAGCAAGACAGCAAGTCCCACAGCCACCTTGGCCAGACCTCCCCAAACAGACTCCTTCCTTCTCAGCCCATTAAAACATGGGATCGGTCTCCTTGGGCTTTCAGGGCTCCTGTGTGTGTGCTGCTCCCCCTTTTTCCGCAAGGAGGCAAAACTGTTAAAGCAGCAGGTCCTTTAGCCTGTTGATCAGGGCCACCACTTCAGGCCAGAAAAGATGTTGTTCTCCTTTTATGGAATCCCCTGTCCACTTAAGCTGTCCTCTTATTATGCCCTCCATTAGGCCAAGCAAATCATGGGACAGTGAGATCACCTGGCTAAGGATGGCTGTTTCCCCACTAAAGACCTGCGCTGCACTCTTGAAGCTTCAGAGGACAAAGACCACTTGACCCATCATGTCCCGTTCTTCTGTGCCCAAATGCCTCCTGTGCCAAAGCTTGGAGTGCCCTTTGTTGCTCCAGCAGTCTTTCAAGTACAGTGGTGCCTTGCTTTACGATTGCCCCGCATTACGACAAAACTGCATTACGACAATGTTTTGCGATCGCAATTGCGATCGCAAAATGATGGTCTGAATAGGGTTTTTTCCACTTTGCGATGATCGGTTTCCTGCTTCAGGAACCGATTCTTTGCAAAACAACAATTTTCCAACAGCTGATCGGCGGTTTCAAAATGGACACTGGGTAAATAAAATGGCTCCCCACTGTTTCCTGGGACGGATTCCTCGCAAGACAGCCACCGAAAATGGCCGCCCTATGGAGGATCTTCGCTGGATGCTGAGTTTCCAGCCCATTGGAACGCATTGAAGGGGTTTCAATGGGCTTTTTATTTTCGCATGATGACGTTTTCGTTCTACAGCGATTTCGCTGGAACGAATTAACGTTGTAATGCGAGGCACCACTGTAGGTAGAACATGGAGTCCGATCAAGTTGCCCTATCCTGGACGAGATGGTGCAGTGACAATCCCGATTTTCTTGCCTCTACTGCAACAGCTCAGTGCCTCAGACACTGTGGTGACAATGCCCTGCTGCCTTTCTGACACACTTGATTTTATTAGTTCCATTTCTTCCATACCCTGCAAAGGACCCCGAACGACTAGGTTGAAACTGCACCCCTTTAAACTTCCCAACCTGCAGTGCTGCCACAACGTTTGCCCATTGTTTGTGACAAACAGATCTTGCCTTTCTATAGTTAGACTGCACTGCTGCAACGGTAGTTAGACTGCACTGCTGCAACATATTACTCAGAGCCTCTCGAATGCTGTCTTCACCACAGCCACATTCAACAGAGCCCACCTGTATGTAACCTGTCCTCGTATATTACCCTATGTCTGATACCTCCACCTCTTATCGGGGGGAGACGGGCATGCTTTGCGCCTTGGCTGTCCAGATGTCACTCACAAACGGTACCACCTCTTCTCTGACCAACTGTTGCCTGACACTCCAACAGAAATGTGCCATCACTTCTTGGCTAAGGATTGTTCAGGATGGTAAATAGTCTCTGCCATCACTTCTTGGCTAAGGATTGTTCGGGATGGCAAACAGTCATGGGATGCCAGTTCTACCACAAATCTATGGAAACCAGTGTTCTCCTGCCATCACTTCTTGGCTAAGGATTGTTCGGGATGGCAAACAGTCATGGGATGCCAGTTCTGCCACAAATCTATGGAAACCAGTGATCTTCACATGAGAGAATTCCTTCCTGGTGATCCAGAGCCATTATCTCCCCAAAGCTGTGTGTAATCCTGGCATAGTTATGTTTGCAGAAGGCCCTTTTCTGCATTCCTCCAATCTCCCCCGCGACAGTCTGGAACCTATTCCAGAGGTGTGGTTCTTGCCTTTGCTGCCTCCCACCTCTTGCTATTTCCCCACCTACCTCCCTGCTTCCATGGGCTGGTGGTTCAATCTCTGCCCTCTGATGACCACTTACACTAAGGAAGTCACTTTCCCCCACAGTACCCATTTCATTTGCCATGAACAGTGCCTCATGCCGAGTCTTCAGGTACCTTGAACATGCTACCATTGGAGAGGTGGCCGAAGTCCTGCTCATGCTTGTGCACCCTCTTGCAAGGCATGCACTCAGCCATGTGAACATCTTTTGCACACTGTTGAAAATGCTTCCAGATTATTGACCTCTTGGGAGCTCCAGTTTTTGTCTGCATGTTTTAGCAGGAATTGCTAACTTGTCATCACTACTGCACCCACATTTCAATTGGAAAGAACCAATGTGAGAAAAAAAAACACTTTCTGGTGTCTGGTCCTGCTTCTAGATATCCTTGATGCAAACAGTCATCATTTCCAGGTTTTAATCTAACCCCAGCCCTGATCACTTGGGAAATCCATAGCAATCAGAAGACGCAGAGTGCTTTGCCCCCACTATCATTGCTGCCAGAATGTCTTTACAATTCATATCTCAAGATACCCTGAAAATAAGACCTAACCTGAAAATAAGCCCTAGTATGATTTTTCAGGATGCTCATAATATAAGCCCTACCCCAAAAATAAGCCCTAGTTAAGTGAATGGCGGGGGTCCTCCACCACTGTGCAGCATTGTGCAGCAACCAGAAGATGGTGAAGGTAAAGGTTCCCCTTGACAATTTTTGTCCAGTCGTGTTTGACTCTAGGGGGTGGTGCTCATCCCCGTTTCCAAGCCATAGAGCCAGCGTTTTGTCTGAAGACAATCTTCCGTGGTCACGTGGCCAGAGCGACTTAGACACGGAACGCTGTTACCTTCCCCCCGAAGTGGTCCCTATTTATCTACTTGCATTTGCATGCTTTCGAACTGTTAGGTTGGTGGGAGCTGGGACAAGCGACAGGAGCTCACTCCGTCGCATGGATTCGATCTTACGACTGCTGGTCTTCTAACCCGGCAGCACAGGCTTCTGCGGTTTAGCCCGAAGGGCCACCACGTCCCTCAACCAGAAGATGACATGACCATAAAATAAAACATCCCCGGAAAATAAGTGCCAATGACTTTTTTGGAGCAAAAATTAATCTAAGACCCTGTCTTATTTTGAGGGAAACACAGTAGCATTCCAGGATGCCTAAGAATTAGTTTTCACTTTCACTTCCTCATGCAAGTAGAATCTTAGCCTTTTGCTTTCTCATCTACTGTATAGAAGTAAACAGGACTGTGAACACTGGGAATTATTATTATAAACATTTGAAACTGACAAATTTAGATTGGAATATATCTGGAACTATCAAATGTGGCATTATTTGGAGAATTCTGAATATTTCTAAATTCAAATGCACATTTATAATTTAAAGTTTTATAGAAATCAAAGATAAGAAACATGCTTAATTAAAGATTGATTTTCCCATTTTTAAAACTGGCAAGGAAAGTGTTTGAGACAAATTAACAATTTTAGATAAAAAATAAGAAAGCGACCAAGGGTACATAACTGAAAAGTCAAGGGTATGATTAGAAGAATGTCAAAACAAATGCTTCAAAAAATGTGTTCACTTACTCATCGAGCCAATGGGGCATATGCATACAGTAATTTACAGGAGGTCAGGCAAAACCAAGGGAGGTCAGGCAAAACCACAGGGTAATCCTAAACATGTATGCTCACAAGGCTGTCCCACAGAGTTGAACAGAATTTAGCACATGGGTTGAAGACTGCTTTGAAGGAAAGCAGTGACTCTGATGGCCAACCCGCCCTAATGACCAACCCACAATGAAAATTACATAGACACTTGATGCACCATTACAGAGCTACACACTCTTCAAATTCTTAAGGAGGCACACTTTTCCTCATGAAGGCAAAAACACAACATTTTGCATGATATGAACACACACATGCAATTGTGTATGCATGAAAACCAAGCCAGATGAGATTTTTTTTCAATGTAAAAGGGCACGGTTGGCTGCACAACTGTCTAGATACAAAGGGCATTACTACAGCCATGTATCTGTATTGTGTGAAGTCTCTGCTGCTATGAAAGAAGAAAAGGAAAGATAGGAAGGAGGTCACAGAGTGTTGCTGTGGAGGATGTTCATATGTTAAAGCCAAGTCCTCTTGCAATCCAAGTACGCAATCTTTCTGTTTTACATGCCTGCAATATCAGATATGCAAACAGACCCATGCTGCCATCCTAAGCGACCCACTATAAGGCTGCCTCGTGCTTGATAAACAGATAGTCTTGTTCTCCTAAGGGCACAATTGTCTAGTGAGATGCTGGACTTGACCTTATCAGAGGCTGTTGGGACAGGCCTTCTGGGGAGAGGCCTAGGACTTCAATTAGCAGAAGGAGCAAAAGAGCCCACAAACACAGCAGGGTCAGTTTACTCCACATGGGAGAAATCAAAGCAATACCATAACTTGGAAAATTATTATTTGGGGGTGGGGGTGACATGGCCAAACTTTCAGAGAACCCCCCAAAAAGTAATTCTTCCTGGGTCTGAGTATACACATTGCTACCTGAAGAGCTAGGAAGGGTCTGAATGTTTCTTAAGAGTCCAAAACTACTTAATTGCTGTGCATAACTGCATTTGTTCAAATGGAATTCAAAAGAACCCTTTCCAATAAACAGTTGATTCAGAAGTACTGTACATGTGTGTCAAGCTCCAGCAATTATGAGATGCACTCCTTTCTCGGGTTTTTCCCTGTCTCCCTGCTTCTGTCCTGGCACTGAGGCCCACAAGTGCAATATTCCCTACAGATCTTAGTCAGCCCTTGAGAATAACCAGTGCGTGAGAGATTTCTGCCATTACCTGTTATAGACCAGACACTCCATGTGGTTGATTTCCTGATCTGACCGGTAGCGGCTGTAGTCTTCCCACAGATCCTTGACCGCAGTCACCGCCAGGATGAAGAGGACAGGGGCCAGAGCCAGCTCAGGCTGGAAGGCGTTAAGAGCCGGCACAAAGTTGAGCAAGGCAATGAAGACAAAGTAAACATTGGCAAGGCGGTGGAACTGCTCAAAGAGGTTCTTGGGGAAAAAGGACACCGCTGTGTACTTGGTGGTCTTGAGTCTATTGCTGGCCGGCAGAGTGGGGTTGTCCACTTCGCGCCACGGTGGCAGCAGGTTGGAGCAAACCGTGCGTGTCTTGCCTGGCTCTTTCTTCTTCCTCCTCCTCCTCCTTTTCGTCTTCCTTTCTTTTTCTTCTTTCTGCTCCTGAGAAGGATCCCCTCCATCTCTGCCTTGTATCATTGCCTTCTCCCAAAGAGACAAACACAGGAAACCGGCAGTTAGAAGTTCTTCCCCCACCTCCCAAGCACATGGAGAAAGTAACCAGCCCGCTCTCCCCTCCCTCCTTTGCGCTATGTGATCATCTCTGAGAACTTAGTCACCCTCTTGTTACTTTTTTTTTTCCACCGACTCTAAATGAAGGGAGGTGTGGATGTTCCCGCCCCTCAACTCTCCCGTAAACCCTCCGTTCCAAACACGGTGGTTTCGAGTTCGGGGAGTCCTTCCTTCCTCTTCTCTTCGCCAACTTCAAGAGGAGGTCCTCTTCCCGCCCCAAACACACACACACACACACACCGTTCCTAAAAACTTTCTTTTCTCCTTGGCTGTCCAGTCTTCAAACCACCCGGCGACTGAAGGACCGGCCCGCTCGCTGGGGCTTGGAGACGCCCAGCGCCCATACAAAGTCGCTCTTGTCTTTGCACGTCATTTCTCACCAAAACGCACTCACCCGTCTCCGCCCCACCGCGAAAAAACAGGGGCTTTGCTTACGGCAGAGAAGGGAGGGAAGGCGGACGGGCGGGGGGATCGGGACGCCCAGA